TTAAGGCTAATATGTTGAATATCATGAATGAGTATATGATATAATCTATTGCTACTAAAAGTGTGTTGTAGCTATTAAATCTCTTTAAGTGATTTTCCTAAGTAGAGGAAAGAAAAGAGATTATCTATTTCAGTTGTGCTAAAATCTCTTGTTTTAAACTTGAGATCATTTTTTCCTGATGTTAGGAAAAAATCGAAATTCATTTTGAATGAGGAAAAGTCATAAAGAATTTCATATTGGTTTATGCATTTTAATCTTAATGATTTGTAACTTCTCAAAACTTTGAGAATATAATTATGTGTAAACAAAACTTGAGTTTGTTAAAATATAGTTTTATGGCTAAAACTCATAACAAACTTTACTCTAGTATGATTGAGTATTTGTTTACACGTTTTATAAGACACTTAGGATATCCTAAAATGTTAGAAATGTGTGGGTGTCTTAAAATGTAGATTAAATGCATAAACTCAAATAGAAAATATTCTATCAACTTCTTCTAGTATTCCTGCTAGGCCTTCTCAAGAAATTGATTTCGAGACTAGAAGAAGTAAAAGGCTATTTGGACCAAATTTTATCACTTCCTTTATTTCTGAGATAAATGATTTAGACTCTCTTTCTGATCATATAGCTTAAATATTATATAAGGATCCTAAAAAGGCTATAAGATCTATCGATACTAGTTCTAGAAAAGCGCTATTAATGATGAACTAGAATCGATAATGTCTAATCATACTTGGGAATTAGTTGACTTGCCTAGAGGATTTAAACCAATCTGTAGCAAATGAATCTTCTGGAAGAAAATGAGACCAGATGATTTGATCCAGTGGTACAAGGCAAGGCTAGTTGTCAAAGGGTTCACTCAAAAGTTTGTTTTAAACTACTTTGATTCTTACTCTCCCATTATGAACATCTCAACGATCCGTGCATTATTTTCACTAGCCTCCATTCATAAGTTGCAAGTACATCAAATGGATGTTAAGACTGCATTTTTGAATGGAGATCTAGATGAGGAGATCTATATGAGAACAATGGTACAAGAAATTTCATAAAACTATACTTAGTTTTGGTTTTGTTGTGAATGGTTTGGATGCTTGCGTGTATTCGATGATGTTTGATACTGATTGCATCATCATAAGTTTTGTATGTTGATGACATGTTGATTTTCAGTTCTAACATTGAGTCCATTAACAAAACAAACGGTTTCTTGTCCACTAAATTTGAGATGATGGATCTGGGAGAAGTTGATGTAATCTTAGGAGTCAAACTTACTGGAAAGGGATTTTCTTTATGTCAAGCACACTATCTTGAGAAAGTGTTAAAGAAATTTGACAGTTTTGACGTCGTCCCTGTTCGAACTCTTGTGACACTAGCATATATCTCTTTAAGAATAAAGGAAGTAGCGTTTCCCAAACATAATATGCTAAATTAATCAGAATTTTAATGTTCTTAAAGAACTATACTCGGCCTGATATTGCTTATGCTGTGAGTAGACTAAGCAGATATACTCATAATCCGAGTGGTGAGCACTAGATTGCTCTTAAACGCTTACTGAAGTATCTTAAGGGTACTTTGGATTGGAAACTTGAATTTGTTGGCTTTCCTGCGGTACTAGAAGGATATTGTGATGCCAACTGGGTTTCTGATAATGATGAGGTAAGCTCTACGAGCGGGTATGTTTTTACTTTGGGTGGAGCAGCAATCTCATGTAAATCATCAAAGCAGACTTGTATTGCTCGTTCTACCATGGAGACAGAGTTTATAAGCTCTTGACCTAGCTGGGCAAGAAGCCGAGTGGCTCAGAAGATTGTTAGCAGATATTCCGTTGTGGGGAAGACCGACTCCTTCAGTTTCATTGTTGTGTGATTCACAAGCTGCGATATGTGTGGCTAAGAACCAAGCTTACAATGGTAAGAAAAGACACATTCGCATAAGACATGAATCAGTTAGACACTTAATAAAGAATGGAGTGCTCTCTTTAGAGTATGTGAAGTCGGAAAGGAACCTAGCAGATCCGCTTACCAAAGGGTTAAGTCGGAAGCTGGTCCTAGATTCGTCGAGGGGGATGGGCCTAAAGCCCATTGGTTGAGGAATTCATGGTGGATACCCAACTTAGTTATCTAAGTTCCATGTGGTCAAACGAAACCATGGAAAGACTCATAGTGCACATTCCTACTACCTATCCCTATGATGAATAATGTGCATGCCCAGGATGAGCTTAATTGCTCTTAATAAATTCATAGCCCAGGCTTTGGGTGGTCTTAGTGAGAAAGACTTGATGAATTTACCGATTTTGGTTGAATATCTATTCTTAATAAGTTCATAACCCAGAGTTGAGTGGGTAGTTCTAATCGCGAAGGACTAGATGAACTTACCGCTTGAGAGGATGAGTTTTATTAAACTCTTAATGAATTCAAACCCAAGAGGTTCCTAGTGAGAAGGACATATTGAATGGGAGTTCCTAGTGAGAATGACATATTGAATTCACCGAATTATGAGGCTGAATATTTATTCTTAATGACTTCTTATCCCAGAGTTTGGGTGGTTCATTAATAATGAACTTGAAGAAAGTCACCATACCCTTTGTGAGGTTGAGCTATTATAAAAGCTCTTAATTATTTCATAGCTCAGTTTGAGTGGTTTATGTTGATATAAATTTGATGAAATAACCTACGTAAGTGAGAAGGATTAGCCACCTTCTATGAAAAACGTTGGGCCGTTTTTCTAGTACACTTATTAGAATCCTGAGGAAAGAGGGCTAAACATATATACGTTTTTGTATATATTCTTTGTAGACACATCGAGAACTTTGGTGGATGAAGGGGTTAGTTGTGTGTTATGAGTTTACCCCAATCTTAGAAAGTTCCAGACTAGTTTCACTTATCTAAGAGAAGGATTGCTCATCATCACTATGTACTAGTTCCAGATACGTTCACTAGTGCTTAAGCAACTAATCTCGCTATTGCTCTTCTCATGTTTTTACTTCATTGCTCTCATCTTTACGAAAGAATTCTTTCGCATTAGTGGGGGAATGTTGGTAATGCTCAATTTGTAACAGTTTTTTAAAGGTTTTTAATTCTATGATTAATAGAATTAAATTGTAATTTTGGAAGTGACTATTTTGCCCTCACTATTTAGCCTATAAATAGAGGGCAATTTCATTCACTTTGAGATATCCCAAGCAAACATTTGCTTTGAAACACTCCTATCTTTTGAGTGTTGTTTGAGTTGAGAGAAGAGCAATACCACCAAGTTCACTCCAGTTTTCGGGTGTACGAATTCTTGGAGAGCCGTGTTAACCTCAGGGGGTTGTTCGTCCATTGTAGCGATTACACACATCGGGGCGAATTTGCTTCTAAGGCAGTGGATTACCACGACACGGTTATCATTCTGATTGATTATTTTATTTAATATTTTCCAGTCAGTGCTAACGCCTCGTTTTGCAGCAGTCTATTTGACCAACATAGAATATAAGTCTATAAATATATACGTATATGTAAGTATATATATATGTTATGTATGTACACAAGCGTATATATATGTATATATACATAATTAGACATAAGTATATATGTAAGTACACACATATATATATACATATAATTAAACATGAGTGACTAAAATAAAAGATTATAAAATTAAAATTTACATTTAATAATTATGCACATTAAAGAAAGAAAAAAATTAAAAGTAATAAAATGTAAACATGATTAAATTGCATCAAATTCAAAATTCAAAAAGAGATTACAATTAAACCATGACTAAAATAAAATAAATCAAAAACCAATTTACAAAATGAAAAATCGATGATTGTTGGAGTATCACGGGCTAATTAACCCAATATATATTGTTGGACACTATCATCTACACCAACTTCCCAAATTTCTTTATTCTCTCTGAATTTCTCAATTTCCTTTCATTCCCAAAATTCTCTAATTTCCCTCTAAATTATCATTTTCCCTCTATTCTCAAAATTTCTCAATTTCTCTCTAAATTCTCAATGTCTCAACTTCCCAAAATTTCTCGATTTCCCTCTAAATTCCCAAATAAAATCAAATTTTTAACACAAAAAAATTTCTTTTAAAAAGTTTATCCTACAATTCACTTTGAATATATATATATAAATTTTTAATATCAAATAATTTCATCTTATATGATATTTTAAAATTTTATGTTAAATTATATTTATATTATTAATTAATTATTACATAAAAAATAAATTAAATTTATAAATATTTAAATTAATTTTATATAATCTAATAAAATCATGTTCAATAAATAAATTGTTTAAGAAAATTAATTTAATGAATATAATTAAGATTTATAATATAAGGATTATAATTAATATAAAAAAGTATTAATTTAATTATCATAACAACAATTTATTTTAAAATTTGAAAGTAATAATATTAATTATCATAGTTTATTATAAATTCAAAATCTCACAACTTCATCAATTATAACTTATAAGTAAGTTAAATATCAAGTCGGGTAAATATCAAATCAGGTCAATAACAAGTCGGATTATTTACAGTTTGAGTCAATAATAAGTTAGATTCATATTTATTCTCAAATTAAAAATATTTGAGTCAATAACAAGTCAGATTATTTACATTTTGAGTCATAATTATAATGGCTAAGGGATATCTATTATCAGTTTTGAACATGGCATTTGAAATGGTGTTTTAATATTTATTCTCAAATTAAAAATATTTTTAACATATTTTATTTTATAATCTCTTTGCTGTTCATAATAAAAAAAATCATATATAAAATTGATAATAAAAAATATTTATATAACATTGGTGAATTCAATATAATTTCCTATAATAAAGGGTATTTAACACTTATTCAAATGGCTCCTCTTAAATTTCATATATATATATATATATATATATATATATATATATATATATATATATATATATATATATATATATATATTCACACCTCAAATTCCTCTTTGAAATCAATATTTTTACATAAACTAGCCGAGGGTTTGAATGCGTATACGGACCTGAAGATATATGATTTTATAAAGATGAAGGTCTAATCTTGAAGCCATTGATCTCCGTCAATATATGAAATGTTCATGTATTCAGCTGCTTCGTATTCCATCAACTGCTTCCCATAAGAGGCTCTTCGTGAGTAGTTTGCTCCGGGTCCCAAACACTCGTATTCACCGAAATACACAGTCCTGGAAACCATCAAAATGTTCATTCTTTATTATGATAAAATGATTGCCACATAAACACAGTTTCAATCAAACGAATGAAAAGAAAATAACAGACTGGTCTCTAGAGGGGTCTCGCCAGTCATTCCATCCGACCGGATCCACAACGTCAGTCATGTAACTTCGGGAAAACACGACGGTGGCATAAGCTCCCCAAGCTCGTCCGAGCCAGATGCTCCCGGTCCCCCGAACAATGCAGTAGACGAACGAGAACCCGGTTTGGTCACTTATCGATTGCCTTGCATGAGCTGTGATGGATCCGCTAACTCCACTCGTCCCCTCTTTAGCAATCGAATTGATAACACAACCCTGTCACGTGGCTGGTCGCTTTCAGTGATAAAATAGAATGGATGATAGGCTTTTAACGACAAACCGAGCTACAATAAGATGTCCGAAAACTGTTGTACCTGATAAAGTGATCGAGCATTCCCGAAAATGATATCAATGGAACCTTGTATGAAACATCCTTTGAAATAGTGTCTCCCACGCTCATCAAGAAGTGTGTCTTGGGCTCCATAAAATCCACAATTGTAGAAAGCAGCTTGATCCCCCGCAATTCGGAGTGCCACTGCCTGCTGTCCAGTCTCACCAGGCATTGGCTCTGGAGCTGTATTCTTTTCAGATAATTGGCAACAAATACACTCATCCATTAATCAATGAGAGCTCCTCAAAAACCATTGCCATCTTCCAATTACTATTACAAGAAAAAGTGTGATGATTTACCTTAAAGCTAATGTTATAAGCTGTGAAGTTAGGAGCAAATATGGCAACCGAAGAGCTAGACACAGTTCCTCCAGTGGAATTTGCAGTATCATTCCATTCAATTGCTGTGTTGAGAAAACCCTCACCTTGGATTATCAAGTTCGATTTGCTCTTATGGATCACTACCTTCTCCCTGGATCACGCAAGTCACAATGTTTATACTTCAACTTTCATGCGTATATATAGGCATTAGCAATCTATGGTTCACATGTATAAATAATGACCTGTATGTACCAGAATAAATAACGATCAGTGTCTTGGTGGGGCTGAAATCCGGAACTTCGTTGACCGCCTTCTGCACGGTGCTGAAGTTAGCGCAACCCTCTAGGTCAACTGTTAATACAAGTGACACTTTGTATTGATAAATGAGGCTGCTTGCGATCGAGTTTGAAATCCATTTGACGTGATCACATTTCTGCTCACGTCCCCACCGATGATGGTGATGACGATGACGGTGGCGGCGGTGGTGATGTCTAGACACCATCCTTTTTAACAAGGATATGAATTCGCTGGTTTGGCTCACGAATTTCGTGACGAGGGAAGCTTCGAAGGTGACGGAGATGGGTGTTTGGGAAGGAGGAGGGAGTGTGAACAGAGCAATTAGGATGGAGAAGAGTGCAAAGAGAAAGGCAAAGAGCCAAATGGAGTTTGTTTTGAGCCCCATGACTACTGCAATGGCCAAATGTGGGGGTTAGTTGGAGAAGGATGTTATTTTGGATGTCATTATATTCCCTAGGGATGGTTGAGTGATGATTGGGGTGGGAGGTAAGATATGTATGAGTGGTGCACAAAATGAAGAGTCAAAAAGGTTGGAAACTCCAGTGATTAGATCAAACAAAAAAAAAGTTGGAAACTGCCTACGCTGAGCCATGACAAATGCAGATGCAAAGGAAAAGGAAAGATTATCTGATTATGGTAATGATGGAAATAAAGGAAATGCAGCATTTGAGTAGCTTATACTTCTTTACCAATATTTAATTTAAACGGGGAATATGTTTTAACATAATCCTGACTATAGTATTAATCACTTGGATTTGCACGGGGTGTTTTGAGTAAAATGTACTTCTCCCATGATATTTTAAGGTAATCAAGAGTGTACTAATTTAGGACAATCAACCAAACGCCTATGTTAAGCAACTTGCTCATTACTTCTTGTTACTGCGAATGTGTTCTGCGGACCCTATGATTAAAGGGTAAGAGTATTGGAAGTTATGTTTTTACCCTCGCTCATGTTTAGACCTCGTAAGGCCACGCTACAATGACATTTTTGACACTCAATTTTCGGGTTATTGGTGGTAGTATTTGGGTTTGATGGTTATAGATAACTCATTCGTTTTAATTTTGGACGGAGAAAAGGAAAGAATATCCCCTCTTTCTATGCCTTGGGGTATATATGCCAACTCTTTAAATAGATTTTAAGGGCTTTATATAGTCTTCTAAAACGATATCATTTTGGGATTTGATTTGATCTTAAAACGGCACCGCTTTGGATTGACCGAAATTCATGCTTGACCTATGATCATACCTATGATCATACTTGAGAGGACTTACTCCCTACCTACACTATTGAAAAAATTGCCTTTCTAATCCCTTGACTTTGTATATGATTTAATTAAATTCAAATTTCACATGAACTGATATTAATTTTAACCCATAATTTAATTTATCGTTCGAATCAGTCATTTTAAATGTAATTAATTAATATTCAACCATTTTGTTTTATTTTAATTCGATCCTTGCATGTTTATTTACTCATTTCTTACATTAAACATGATCTTATTAATCTTATGCCTTTTGTGGTTTTCTATACTACATTGCATGAAAATTATTTTAGTTTCTTCTTTCAAAATTTGAGGTAATTTTATTTTTGTTATGCTGACTAAAGAAGGAAGTGTCCTAGTTGGTTTGCGACCTTTTTATTTGTGTATAACATAGGTATATCTTCTTCAAATAGATGCGTGTCTCCTTTTTATTTTTGAACTGTTTCTTTCAAACAAGGTTAACTATAAATTTTTTTTTAAAAGTATTCGTACGTAAGATTAAAATTAGACTAAATTCATATTTGTAACTTTCTGAAGTAAAAAAATATCATGTATTTTTAAAGGTAACCTATTGAACTCAATTTTGACTCTGAACTTAAATATAAAGCTTGCAAAAATTATCTTTTTTTATAAAACAATGATTTCATAGGTGTTCGACTGTTGGAAAATAGTCTGCTACAAAATGAGGTGTTAGCATTGACCGAAAAAATATTAAACAAAACATATAAACAAAGAACCGATTAACAGTGTCGTGGTATTAACCACTGCCTTAGAAGCAAATTTACTCTAATGTATGTGATTGTTACAATGGATGAATAGCCCCCTGAGGTTAGAAAAACTCTCCAAATTTCGTACACCTGAAAGATAGAGTGGATTCTAGTAGTACTGCTCTTCTCATGAGTGTTTCTAAAGTAAACAATTGCTTTTGGATATGTAAAATGAGAACAAATGCCACTATTTATAAATTAAATAGTGAGGACAAAACCTCTTTCAATCCAACAACATTAATAAGTTATTTAAAACAAAATTAATATCAATAAAAATGTTTTAATTCTAAGCATTAACAACAATCCTCCACTAATGAGAAAGAAATTTTTTGTAAAAATAAAAGCAATAAAGTTAAAACATGAGAATAGCAATAACGAGATTATTTTGCTTAAGCATTAGTAAACATATCTTGAAATAATACATAGTGATGATGAGTAATTCTTCTCTTAAATAAGTGAATGAATCTTGAACTTTCTAAGATTAGGGTGAACTCATAATACACACTAACCCCTTCATCCACCAAAATCTTCAATGTGTCTACAAAATATATATACAAATGTATATATATAGCCCTATTTCCTTAGGATTCTAGTAAGTGTACTAGAAAAAATGACCCAACATTTTTTTATAGAAGGTGATTAATCCTTCACACTTACATGGGTTATTTCTTTAGGATTATCTCAACATAAACCACCCAAAATCGGGCTATGGAATAATTAAGAGCTTTTACAATTGCTCATCCACATAATAGGTAAGGTGAATTTGTTCAAGTTCATATTAAATGAATCACCCAAACTCTAGGATAAAAAATTATTAAGAATAAATATTCAACCTCGTTAATAGGTGAATTCAATATATTTGTCTCACTAGGAACACCAAAATCCTTGGGTTTAAATTCATGAAGAGTTTTAAGAAAAACTCATCCCCTCTAGTGGTAAGTTTACTTAATCCTTCGTGATTAGGACTACTACCCACTCAACACTGGTTATGAACTTATCAAGAATAGATATTCAACCAAAATTCGATAAAATTCATCAAATCTTTCTCATTAAGACCACTCAAAACCTGAAATATGAATTTATTAAGAACAATTAAGCCCATCCAGTGCATGTACATTATTCGTCATAGGGATAGGTAGGTAGAAATGTATACCATGAGTCTTTTCATGGTTTCGTTTGACAACACTAAACTTAAATAACTAAGTTGGGGATCCACCATGAATTCTTCAACCAATGGGCTTTATAGCTATCTGCTCGATAAATCAAGAACCAACTTCCGACTTTAACCTTCGAAAATGGATCAACTAGGTTTCTCTCTCACTGTGATCATCATTTAAGACACCCCTACATTTCTAACATTTTTAGGATATAAATAAATCCATAAGTGTCTTGGACAATGTGTAAACAAATCCTCTTGCACATTTATTGACTCATACTTGAGTAAAATTTGTTATTAGTTTTAACCATAAAACTATATTTTAACAAACTCAAATTTTATTTACACATGATTATATTCTCAAAATTTTGAGAAGTTACTAAGCATTAAAATTAGTATTCATAATCTCAAACGATTATGAAATTCCTTATATTCTATTATAGTCCTCCACGACTTTGTTCATTCTAAAGGAATTTCAATTTTTTCTAGTTCTTCATAAGAAATGTTTAGGAAACTATGAATATTATGAGGAGTTTTTAATTTTTTTTCCTATAAACAGGGAAATTATCTCAAGTTTATTGCAAAAGATTTTAACACAACTCTTGAGATAGACCATCTTTTTTTATTTCATCTACTTAAGGGAAAAAATAACTCAAAGAGATTTAGTAGTCACAACCAACTTTTAGTAGCACTAATGTCTTATCATATTTTTGTTTATATTATTCAACATGTTAACCTCAAAGAAATCATCATATATTTTTTTACTATGACTAAATTTGGTATTTTACTCAACCAAATTAATCTTTACTCTTTTAACTTCTGCACTAAGTTTAAGAGTTCTTATATTGTCATAGCATTTTATAAATTGGAATAGTAAGCATAGTAATGAACATTGCACCAAGTAGATTTCTAAGAAAGAGAGGTGGTGCGCTAGGCACGCTTAAATTTCATGTATTTCATAGAACCAATATTAGACATGCACTTTCATACTTATGACATTAATTTCCAATAAATGTTTTATCAATTTTCTCTTTATTAAGGTCTCTTAAAGAATTATGCTTGATACTTTTACTCGCAATATTATTTTATTAAGCATACACATTCTGGGCTCACTACTACCTTAGCCTTTTTAATAGTGACTTATATCATTCCATAATATTTCCACTAAGTTTAAAAGACTATCATTCTAGGCATGAATTAATATGCAACAAAGTCTAAATAATTTGACCTCGTAGGTAGAATTATAACTCCGAAACATACTTTTTTTTTTAAAATTCCGAAATAGATTTGTTCATTCTCACTATGCATGCAACTTTTATCTTTACATCATCATCTTTAACCAGAATGTCCCGAAATCTAACATGACAGTCACTTCATTTGAATTAATATTTCTCTTGAATATGTTAGTTCTACACTCAGATGAAGATTTTACACTATTAGTCTCAAAGAATGATTTACTAACAGTAACACATAAATAATAAACACTTATCTTCTCAATCATGTATCTTCATTCTAGTTTTATCAGTTTTCTCTTCAACTTAAAATGAACTTTGACAGAAAAATTTCTAACTGTCATGATACCTTTATAAATTTCTCAAGAGAAATTATTAGTACTTATTTTTTACCTTAAATTTCATGAGTTAAATATTTTTATTTCACGTACGAGAAAAAATAGTTGCACATCTCCATGTGAGTACACTATCACATTTGCTCCAACACCATGTATACAAATATGCAAGCTTATTTGTGACAATTCATCATTTAGAAAGCGTGAAATTCTCTTGAATAAAAAATAATTAATCATCCTTCTAAAATGGTCATTAAAAAAAATTTAAATTCAAGACCATTGCACACTTGAAACAATTAATACAACAAAATTATTCAAGATAGCATTTCTCTTTGCATATTACAGTTTGCTTTTATTATCAATATTTGGCTAGTATATATCTATAATAGCCGTATAACCATTTAAAAGTAATAAACACGTCTCCATTATCTTTTCAATTTTGCAACATAAAGACAATGCAATAAGAAATTATTTTAGAAACTAAAATGTTTCCGTTCTTGAAACTCATAAAACCAATAAAACGATTTTTCTTTAATCCATAAGACCTTATAATACCATTAATGCTTATTATAATATAAAGTCATAATACCATTAATGCTTATTATAGAATTTCCTCGAAGAGATTGGCTGCGAGGTGACTGAAGGTAATCGGGAGATGAAACGTCAAGGTA